GAGAGAGAGAGAGAGAGAGAGAGAGAGAGGGGGGGGGGAAAGAGAGAAAACATCGAATTTCGATATTCCCTCGCGCGCGAGCGCTTGGCAGTCCAATCTTTGTATCGTCTCGCTTGCTGAACGGCAGTCTCTAGGAACACGCGCGTGTCGACAGCCAAGTTTACAGCGCGCCTATAGTTTAAAGCCGTCGGCGTTTTTCCTGTGTTACAGATGCCAGGAATGTCCCGTGGTGAAGCCTACGTTCCTCTGCGGAAGCGACAATCGCACGTACAGCTCACCGTGCCGTCTCGAGTACCACAACTGCATTCACCATACCTCCGTCCACATCACCTGCAAAGGTTTTTGTCCGTGCAAAGGTGAGAGATACGTTTGTCTATATGCACGAGTCGAATTTAGATCACGCATTTAGACATTGATTTAATCTCATCAGACATTGTCTAAACGTAAAAACGAGGGAAAAGTTTAGTGAATTTCAAATAATTACAGAATCGCATACCATTGTTGCTTTGCTTCTTTTGACTAATTGTAATTCAACATTTTTTATTTTCGTTCTGATATTTTTTGCTTCTTTAGCATACTTTTAATTCTTATTTCTATTTTTTATTTTCTATGTGTTGATTTAATATTTTAATTATAATAAAACGATCGTATCTTTACCTATCTTTTTAAATTTTTGATTAAAATTTTTGATTAAATTTAACTTATTTATTACTGTTGAGAAAAGAGAAAAAATATTATTTTTTACAGGTTAGTCATCGAGTTCTGTAATTTGTATATCTTCAAATTTTTTTACGTGAAAACATTTTATAGGATTATATTATTTAGCCGAAAAATTTCAACATATTTTTTAGATATCTTTTCTACAAACTGTATTTATTATATATGATGTCAAATGTAAAAATATCAGTCAATTAAAATATAAAAATTTTTGCATAGAAAATGCAACACGATGAAAATGTATATTTAAAACACATATGTTTGTCCCTTATGGAAAATATTAGTACGTAAATACAAAGAAAATAAATGAAAACGACAGACAGAGTCGTTTGTCATTTCAAAATTTTTATCTATTTTTAAATCCTATGCTTATCCGAATTCTTTTTCCAAAATAATACCAAATAAATTAATTTGCGTTATTATTCAGTCAAGAGAATTCGATATTGCTAATTCTAATTAGAAATGAGCAAAGGTCACATTACATTTAAAATGCGTGAATCCAAATAGTTTATTTATTATATGTGTAATCAGATCAATAGTTTAATTAGTTTAATTATATATTTGGTTGGTATATTTGGTTGGTATATTTTATAATTAGTTATGTTTAAAAATAACGTAGGGCGGCAAACAATGCCGCTATGTTATTCTAATATGTGAATTAATATTTGAACATAATGCATACAAAACGATCAATCTCTGGATGGGCTCTGGAAATTAAGAGAAAGCGAAAGCGTTATAAAAATTGTATCACCGCGACTATTTTTACAATGACATACGGAGAATCTGACTGAATCGGCAATTTGCAACGTAAAAGAGAGTACGCTGTCAGTGGTGACTTATAAAAAGCAACTCTGCAAGATTTAATGCGCGAGATCAATTTGTAAGCATATTCATGTTGGAATATACGTATGTATTGTAAGTTTCACAATAGTGGAGCCGCGTTTGCATCGCGCTTTGCGACACGTGAATCTTTCATGAATATTCATAATTGGCGGTGAAGAACAATAGTGCCGGTGTGTTGGGCACACACCGAGGTACAACGCGATGTGTACCTCGGCAAACGTTGAGCGAATCGAGCGAATTGTCGTCGAATCGGAGAAACAGGGAAGATTGAATAGATCCGATTGAATTTGCCAATCGCGACGATTCACTCTTATTTACTCTTAATATACAAGCGTGATTGCATCATATTTTAGACACAAAAACAAATACTAAATACTAAATAATAAAAAATATATTTATTTTCAGGAATTTTAACAATGCCCTTTTTTTATCGAAAATTTAAGTTTTGCAGTATTTGTTAAATAGGACTGGGCGAATATGACGTGAAGTTTCAAAAGTATATACACATTTAAGAAATAAATATGTTTATAGACAGGTGTGTGTGTGTGTGTGTGTGTGTGTGTGTGTGTGTGTGTGTGTGTGTGTGTGTGTGTGTGTGTGTGTGTGTGTGTGTGTGTGTGTATATTTCAATATTAGAAACGAATAATAGATAATAATGCAAGTCCGACATGTCAAAAGATCTATCCTTAAAATTATATGTTGAACAATATTAATATTATTATACGTTTTAATGTAACGTAAACTGGATTGAAGTGCTTATATCGCAGAAATAATTCGCAGAATTTAAAACTACGTAGACAGGTAATCTCTGGCTTGCGACGTTAATGTACGAAGAGAAAAAAAGACCTGGAATTAATTTTACTCAAATTTCGCTCATTAATATTAATGAATATCAACGAGCGAAGCTTCAATCTGTCGGTTCGTCGTGGCGTATGTCAAGGCGATAATTGAATTTTATAGAGAATTGTGAATCGGTGTAGCGCTTGTATCTCGTCGAAAAAAATCATAACGATCGTCAATCGTGATCGAATGCGTGTGCTAATTTCAAATGGCTCGTTTGGGTATGTACGATTAATGGGCGATTCATTCGCAAATTTGATTAATTTCAAAGGTAGTTGTATTTTTATCAACCATTCTATAATATCGCGCGCATACTGTTTTCGCGTTTTAAACGTCAATATGAGCTAATAAAATGCTATCGCTTTCACGATCGAGCAGTTTGCAACATACATGCGGAATATCGATTATCAGGTTCGGTGTCGTTAAAACACTATCGTGCTCGCGGTCGGATGATCCACTGGAAATCTAGTAAGCTTGATGAAAAATGACGCGCCACTGCGTGAGATAAAATATTTATGCAGGGATCAATCAGGGTGAAGTTTTTGCTTAAATTCAATATTCGTCGAATTTAATGTATAATATATAATCTTATCTAATCTATAATCCTGCAAAAACAAGTCTTGCAGAAATAAATGAAGACTTGAAATGAAAATGGTACCAAGTGTGAAACGTAAAAAAAGCATACTACGATGCTTCGGGATTGTATGCTGCAGGACAAATGATACTTTTTGCACATATATCTTCTTCTAGCGTAAACTCCAGTTGTATCTTTTTATTTTTTGTCGCTTTGTCCTGCTTTTAAATCGGATCCTTTCTTAAATAGTCGGATTCCGCGCCATAAAAATTTTTCTGTTTTTCTGGCGGGAGAGTTATGTCCTCTACGCGTTTCTTCTCTCGTCTTTCTTCTTTCGTCCTCGTGCTGCATTCGACGACAAACTTTCGCGTGCATCTCACGGAAAAAAAAATCACTCCCGCCATCATCATGCGGCGGAAAGGATGGGCGGAAAGTACCCTGCGGAAAATAGCGCCCTTAAAAAGCGCAGTCGGCCTTTCGATTTCTGACGTACAATTTGTCGACAGTGTCATTTCATGCTCATGAATTGATTCGGGCTAACGAACCGAGTATTTTCGACGCGCGTTGCGCCGCCGCCGCCGCCGCCGCCGCGCCGGGACGAAATGTAATTTCGTCGTTCTTGCAATCAACGTGTGTTCACGAGAAGAGTATATTAATCAGAGGTAAATTTTGCAGTTGCCGATCTGCGAACATACTCTTCGAAGAAGACGCAGATGCAGAGGAAGAAGATGCTCATGGGCAAGATGGGCCGCAACCATGACATTACTCTTACACCCCGCGACTTCAATTACGATAATCATCATTACCAGTATCTCAAGTACACGAAACACGGCAAGGTAAGTCATATTCGCTTCTTATGCTACATTTCCGCTATAAACGACAGAGAAAACATTGAACATCATACATGATGTTCTTATCTTTGTCGCGATTGAGAGCTTGAATTGAATTGATTATTTCTTCGCTTATTACAAAGACATTTTTATCTCGCGTATGCGTAACAACGTGTAAACAACATTACGTACATAACAATATAATGCCATATAATATCAGTGATGAAAACGCAGAATGAAATGAAAAGAAGTAACTTTCAACTTCCTGTAATGAATGAAATTAATTGAATATTACTTTACAAAAATCATTATTTTTAGCATGATTGCTGATCAAAATGTAAAAAAGAAAAATTCTGTTTGTAAACCTATAAAAATAAATAATATTATAAAAATATTATAAATAATATTATAAAAAAAAGATCAATATTGCTATGATTGCATGGCGACATATATAATTCATTTTTTTCTGTCTACAACAAAATAACATCTATTTCGTTTCATTAATTTTTCCAAATGTATGTATTCTTGTGTATAATTATTATATTATATTTTCTGATACTTTGATTTCCGGATAATTTTCATTTTAATTTATCTAAATCTTTATTTCTGCTACATTATTTATTATTCAATTATATAAATAGACTTTTGATATTAATATTAAATATTATTATAAAATTCATTTGAGAAATAAAATAAATCAATTTTATCTGTCTTGCTTGAGGAAAACATCGTTTTGGATGTTTTTTTTTCTCTTTAAACATTAATTCAACTAAATTGAACGTCGAATCGTGATGATGTTCGAACGCTTTTTGATATAAAACTACTTCTGCAAAAACAGTTTCTTAAACAAATTTAAAAAGCAAAATTTGATTACAATTTCATAAAAAAATTTTATAGAAATGAAATATTATGTACGTCTACGTAATATTTGCATACTTATCTACGTACGTATTATTTATATATTATTAATGAATAATCAGAGATTAGACACACATTTAATATTTATTCACATATTT